CCCAAGCCTGCACCGCGACACTACGTTTCCCACAATTCCTCCACTTCCGGGTTTACGACCCCTCGCTACGAGTCCTTTTCTTCGCATCAGCCCCCTGTGAACTACAACTCCCAGTCTTCCTTGCTTCCTGGTCCCAGCCAATCACCTTCTTTCCCTTCCCGGGATCGCTCCCCCGAGCCTATGCAGGTGGGGCGCGCACAGCTGACTCCTGCAGAGAGACAGCGGCGTATGTCTGCCCGCCTCTGCATTTATTGTGGTAACTCCGGTCATTTTCTGCCCCACTGTCCGTTTCGGGGAAACGAGAACTTCCACCAGTAAAGCGGGAGTTACTGGTGGGAACGTCTGCGTTAACCTCCCCATTTAAATTGTTACTTCCTATGGTCATCCAAACACAAAACCGTCGTTTTTCTTTTTCCGCTCTTATTGACTCAGGCGCTGAACAAAATTTGATCAGCTCTGATTTAGTTAAAAAGTATTCCCTTCCGACCCGCGAAATACCGTCACTTTCTGTCGCCGGCTTAACCGGGGACACGCTGACCCGCATTACTTTAAAGACCACCGAGTTACACGTTGTTATGTCAGGAAATCATCATGAGATGACTGATTTCTTCGTTTTTAGTTCTCAAACTCCTCAAGTAATTCTTGGTTTCCCTTGGCTTCGTAATCATAACCCAGTTATCAACTGGGAGCGCGGTTGTATAGATAAATGGAGCGACAAGTGCCTCAGCAATTGTTTACGCTCAGCTGTTAAAGCGTCCCCTCGTGACACGCCTCCGTTAGAGGAGATCGATCTTTCCTCGGTTCCTGCCGAATACCGCGACCTGGCGGCTGTCTTTAGTAAACAACGCGCTTCGTCACTTCCTCCTCATCGCCCCTACGACTGCGCGATTGACTTGTTACCTGGCGCCCCCTTGCCGTCAAGCAGACTCTACAACCTTTCTGGTCCTGAGAGGGAGTCTATGACTAGTTATATAAATGAATCTCTTGCCTCAGGCATTATCAGACCCTCGACCTCCCCTGTGGGAGCGGGCTTTTTCTTTGTTTCTAAGAAAGATAAGTCACTCCGGCCATGTATAGACTATCGTGGGTTAAATAACATAACAATTAAAAATAAGTACCCTCTTCCCCTTATTGACTCACTTCAGGAGCAGTTGCAGTCTGCCTCCTGCTTTTCAAAACTTGATTTGCGAAACGCGTACCACCTCGTCCGTATTAAAGAGGGCGACGAGTGGAAGACCGCTTTTCGCACTCCTCTGGGCCACTTCGAATACTTAGTCATGCCCTTCGGGTTAACCAATGCCCCCGCGATTTTTCAGGCGCTCGTTAATGACGTCCTGCGCGATTTTATTGGTAATTTTGTGTTCGTTTATTTGGATGACATTCTTATTTATTCTCGTGACCCTGCTCAACACACGGCCCACGTTCGTTTGGTTCTTCAGCGGCTGCTGGAGAACCAATTATTCGTTAAAGCTGAAAAGTGCGAGTTTAACACCTCCACTGTTTCTTTTCTCGGCTTTATTTTTGAGGGTGGTCGTTGCCGAACCAACCCTGAAAAGACCAGGGCGGTAGTCGATTGGCCAGTTCCCGAATCCAGGAAGCAGTTACAACGTTTCCTGGGGTTCGCAAATTTTTATAGGCGGTTTATTAAAGATTACAGTCGTGTCGCCGCCCCCCTGTCTCAGCTCACTTCGACTGCCCGAGCCTTTCATTGGACCCCGGAGGCTGACGCCGCCTTTTCTAAGCTCAAGTCCCTCTTTTCCTCGGCACCCATCCTTTGCCATCCTGACCCCGCGCACCAGTTTATTTTGGAGGTGGACGCCTCTGACACTGGGGTTGGGGCGGTCCTCTCCCAACGGTCTCCTCTGGACAACAAGGTCCATCCCTGCGCCTTTTTCTCTCGCCGTCTCTCCCAGGCTGAGCGAAACTATGATGTGGGCAACCGCGAGCTTTTGGCGGTCAAACTCGCCCTCGAGGAATGGCGGCACTGGCTGGAAGGCACTGAGACACCTTTTTTGATTTGGACCGACCATAAAAATCTGATCTACCTGCGTAACGCCAAGCGTCTGACCCCCCGTCAGGCCCGTTGGTCGCTTTTCTTTAATCGTTTTAATTTTGTTTTGACTTTCCGTCCGGGCTCCAAGAACATTAAACCGGACGCCCTGTCCAGACAGTTTGCCCCACCAGACTCGTCCGAGCCTTCAGACTCTATTATCCCTTCGTCCTGCATTGTGGGCTCCCTTTCTTGGCCCATTACCGCCACCGTCCAACAGGCTCTTCTCTCCGAACCAGACCCTGGTGGTGGTCCCCCCGGCACCCTCTTCGTTCCCTCCAGCGTGCGGTCCCAGGTTCTCCAATGGCTTCACACAAGTAAGCTTTCCTGCCACCCCGGAGTCAACCGTATGCTCTCTCTTACCAAGGCCCATTTCTGGTGGCCCTCCATGACTTCGGACATTAAGGACTTTGTTTCTGCCTGCCCCGTCTGTGCCAGAAACAAGTCCGGCACTCAACCCCCGGCTGGCCCCCTGCTTCCCCTCCCGACCCCTGGTCGCCCTTGGTCCCACATTGCCCTCGATTTCGTTACCGGCCTTCCTCCATCTGACGGCAACACCACCATCCTCACTGTTGTTGACCGCTTTTCGAAGGCCGCCCATTTTGTTCCCCTCCCTAAGCTCCCCTCTGCCCTTGAGACTGCTCAGCTACTCACCCTCCATGTGTTTCGGCTCCATGGGATTCCGTCGGACATTGTCTCTGACCGAGGCCCGCAGTTCATCTCCCAGGTCTGGCACTCCTTTTGTAAGTCGCTCGGGGCGTCCGTTAGCCTCACCTCTGGTTACCATCCCCAGGCTAACGGACAAGCCGAGCGCTGCAATCAGGAGCTGGAGTCCACACTGCGTTGCCTGGTCGAGTCTAATCCCTCGTCCTGGAGCCAGCACTTGGTTTGGGTGGAGTACGCTCATAACTCCCTCCGCTCCTCTGCCACCGGCATGTCCCCCTTTGAAGCCTCCCTAGGCTACCATCCTCCTTTGTTCCCTGATTCAGAGACAGACTGTTCGGTCCCATCCGTCCAGCACCACTTCAGGCGTTGCCGTCGTATCTGGCGCCAGGCCAAAGCAGCCCTCCTTAGGACCGCAGCCCAGGCAAAACGGTTTGCTGACCGCCACCGTTCTGAGACGCCCGCCTACCAAGTCGGCCAGCAAGTTTGGTTGTCCACCAAGGACATTAAGCTGAGGGACACACCTCGCAAACTGGCTCCCCGTTTCATTGGTCCCTTTCCCATCACTCGCATCATCAATCCCTCTGCGGTCCGCCTCCAGCTCCCCAGGGCCATGCGCATCCATCCCACGTTCCACGTTTCCCAAGTAAAACCTGTTTCCCTCAGTCCCCTGTGTCCCCCATCTGACCTCCCTCCGCCGCCTCGCCTGATCGACAACCACCCTGCGTTCTCCGTTCGTTCCATCTTGGACGTGAGACGCAGGGGCAGGGGTTTCCAGTACCTGGTCGATTGGGAGGGGTACGGTCCTGAGGAGAGGTCATGGATCCCCAGGTCCTTTATCCTTGACCCCAGTTTAATTTCCAGGTTTTACAGAGACCACCCCGAGAAGCGCCTCAGGTCGCCAGGTGGCGATTCTTGAGGGGGGGGTACTGTAAGGATCCCACTGCCTGCAGCCTGCCTTGCTGATGGCCGCTGATTACCAACACCTGGCGGCCATCAGCCTGATGAGCCTCTCCATCTACTTAAGGCTGCAGTCCGGTGTGATTCAACGCTGGAGCATATCACCTCTTATGGTATTGTACTGTTGTGAGGCAAATGCCTTGGTGAAAAGAATTTGTTCACCTTCTGCTCTTTTTTCCAGTTTCCTGGTTCCTCGTGCTCTTTGGATTTCCCTCGTGACCTGATTTGGATCCTAGGCCTCTCAGGTATTCCTCGTGCCTCTTTGCCTCCAGTGCCAGCCTTCCTCGTTCCCCTTTTGGACTTTGTTGGATTCCCTCTGCTGCTCGCTCGCCTTGGACTGAAGGACCAGCTCTCCCTTCGGGTTGGACTGTAAGGACAAAACACTTTCCTTAAAATCAACTTGAGCCTTCCCCGTTGGACAACCATTAACCTGTCGTCCCTCTTTCCAGGAGCCTCAGACCAGCAGCCAGTGGATGTGATTTAATCTCACTGTAAATAATAAACACTGTTATTTTGTATTCCCCTTGTGTCTGCCTCGTTCTGGGTCTCATATCATCTGGGTTCCCCGCGCACTCCTAACAGAAAGTAATGATGTGAAAACTTTGTGAATACCATCCATCCATCCATCCATCCATCCATCCATCCATCCATCCATCCTTACTTCCTTACTTCCTTACTTACTTACTTACTTACTTACTTACTTACCTGCTTCTTCCTTTCCAGGTTGCGGGGGTCACTGATGCTCATGTATTAAGCAAAATTTTCAATTTAAAAAAAGCATTAAAGTCTAAATTTCTGAATATTTTTGGCTTTAAGTCATTTCCTCACTGAAAGCAACCTTTAATGGTCTGCTCTAAAAATATTTGTGAGGAAAAAACAGATCAAATTTCCTTCTTAATACCGAAGACCCTTAGCTCCCTCAAAAATGTATCCAAGCTGATCTAAAACATTAAAGAAAATGTTTGGTGGCACTTTGACTTTGGTACGACCTGAGAGCAAATTTGTTCTGATTAAGATCAAATGTGAGCTTTTATTGGACAAAATGAGTCTCACAGAAGGCGTCTCAAGGTGACAAAGCACTTTCATTTTGCTGTGAGCAACAAACCTGATGCTGCAACTTGACTCAAGCTAACAAGAAACCAACAGAAACCACCAGCCTCAGATTTACTCATATGCCTTTTTCTTCTCAAAACTTGTTAGATACTAAATAAAAACCCTAATTATCAAAATTCAGGTTATTATATTGCTACAACTTCCCCTTGCACTGCTGTCCTTGTGATCTTCTTCATGGTATGTGTATATTTGAGATGTTTACCATAACACCCACCTGACATGGAGGCAGGCAGGATGGCCTGGCCTACGAGCCCTGGCTGTAGTAAATTCTGGTCAAACTGCCCTGTCATGACTTGATTGGCTGGGAGGTAAATGCTGGGGTCAGAGTTTGAAGCTTGTAACAGTCCCACAGGTTGAAGAGCCTCCGAAGCAGCCGGCTGCTGCCCATGACCCAAGGCCTCAGGCTGCCCCGCGCCCGAGTCCTGACTCGCTCTCATCTGACCAGCAGACAAGGAGGAGCGCTTGGATTTGCGGCCGTCGCCGTTTGAACGAAAGTGACACTGGATGTGGGTTTTGCGGTGACCTGAAGTTCTGAAGCGGAAGTCACAAAAGGGACATTTGAAGGGCTTGGAACCGGTGTGGAGGCGCATGTGCACCTTCAGGCTGCCTTTTGTGGAGAAGGAGGTGTTGCACATGTGACAACTGAACAGTTTTTGACCTGCAAACACAAAAAAAGGATCACTTATTGTTTAACAACGTTTTTCTTCATCACAACTCAAACCAGCATGCATCAAGGTGGTTAACCCTACTGCTGTGCTTGGTTCATACATCAACCTGATCAACAGATCTTTAATTATCGTTACTGCGATGATATTTGAATCAATAAACCTCTGACCTGTGTGTGTTTTCACATGGCAGTCCAGAGTCGACTTCACTGTGAAACTCTTTCCACATTCGTCACATTTGTAGGGTCTTTCACCGGTGTGGATCCGAATGTGCCTGAACATTAAAACAGAGGCCAAGGGTCAAATATGAGAGAGCACGAGGAGAGGTTTATGAGAGGTTTCAGACGGCAGAAAATTTAACTAATTTATTGTTTTACAAGAGAAAAACAGAGTGCGTGGGAGGAAATAAAAAAGCAGAATGTGCAGCTAGTCATGACCTCTTTTTTCACCGGGGTTGTTTGAGCCTCATCAAAACATCAATTATAATAAAAAATAAAATAAATAGTACACTTTGCTTTCTGCTGAGTGTCTGAAGTTATAAAGGAGGAACAGCCTGGGGACAAGAGTTATAAAGAGCATTTTTACAGAACTAAAACATGAAGTTGTCTTTCAGGCATCTGAGTAACCAAGAAACTTGTTTCAACAATCAAATAAACGCCTACTCAACTCAAATATGTTCATCCTTTCAGGGCTTTTAACTAAATACCTCAACAAACAAAGAAGAAATGTGGCCTTGTGTATTATTTACTGACCTGTCATTATTTTTATTTGCCCTCTTTAATTGGAAATCCTGACACAAACAGCTTCAAATCACTTCAAAACGTTGCAATCTATTTGGTGTTCTGCATGTTTTATTATTAGGATTTAAAGTGTTACAAAACCTGCTCAGACCTACTGATTAACTTATATAACTTAAATAAATAATAACTACTGCTGCTTTTGTTACAAACTGTTTTATATCCATTTTATACAGTTTTAAACCCATTTATAACTGGGTGTTATAAATGATGTAACTAGAACAGTCTCTTAAGTAAAATAATATAAACTCCTGTCAAGGAAGATGTTAGTTCTGCTATTTCTCTGTTACACCTGCTAAAGTTTTGTGTGTCTTTCTGAAAACATCCCATGAACTAAAGGACATTGTTTGATGAATAACTTTCAGGTTCATCAGCCAACATTTTTCGCTAACTGGCCTGAGGAAACACAACAGATGCAACTTGGCCTCTTTTTTTTTTACAGATATGGAGCTAAAACTTGTGATAGTAGCTGATAATCACCCACAAAACACAATTTTAGCTTTACACACTGCAAAATAAATATACCGTATTTTTCGCCCTATAAGTTGCAGTTTTTTGCATAATTTGCATGCCCTGTGACTTATATGCCAAAGCAACGTATTTATGGATTTTTTCCCCCCATATTTATAAACCAATTTTTGGCTGAGATATGACCATTTTCATTGTTTCTGACTGAAAAAAATTGAACACTACCATTTTCAGCCGTTAGATGGCAGTAAGGCATGCCGTTGTATCATGTAATAGGTAAAAGTGGCTAGTAATGACACAATCGGCTTGCCATAGTCTGCCACCTTCGTCTGCCTGGAACAACTGAATCAGCTCCCCCGGCAAAATTCATCTGATTTGACCGTCTAAGTGCATTTATTAAAAGTTCAACTGAGACACATCTTTACTATAAAGTTGAGCTAACAAATAATTGTTTTAAGGTGGCTATCTTGTTAAATTTTGAAGAAATGAACCGAGTCACCCTCTGCGCGTTCATGTTTCCACATATTGGCTTTTGAAATGCAGCTATTTGACCGTCAAACTGCATTTATTAAGAGAGAGTTAGACTGAGACACACCTTTACTATAATTTCGAGCAAACAAATAATTGTTTTTAAGTGTTAATCTTGTTAAATTCTTGTTAAAGTCCTCCCGTGCACGCTCCCGCGGCCACCATTTGGCAGCTCATCGATTTTTGGCAAAACACCGGCCCACAGTTTGGCCCACATTCCTGGGTTGTCAGCCATGACACGTAAAACGCAACGCATCAGCGGTGACGCATAATAGATGCGACGTATACTGCGAAGTGACATATTTATGGATATTACCACTTTTTTAGACATATATGGACTGATGCAACTTATAGGGCGGTGCGACGTGTACGGCGGAAAATACGGTGTTTATATAGGATGAGTGGCCATCATCATGTCTCCTGGACACCCTTGAACTGTCACTTAATGCAAAAAGAACACAATGGAGAAACTAAATCTCTGCTGGTCTGGGAAAAAACTTGGGAGTTCTCCCACAAAAGCTGAAAGGGGTGGCTGTGAAAAGATTAAACATTATAATTTGTGGCCCTGATTTTGAGCACCAAGTTGACCGAAACAGCTGTTTTTCTTTTTGCACATTTATTAGAAGCACTTTGCTTCTTTTTTTAATTACAAAATGTATTTCATATGCGTTTAATGTAAGACATAAAAGACGACGATGGCACGAGGTTTAAATAGCCCTAATTTATCTACACTGCACTGTCACATCCTGTGATTGAGCTGTTCCAAATTGTTTTACCAGACAGGATCAATGAGTGCTGCACCTTCATGTCGACTACGTTCATCTATCAGAGAGTGTGTGCCCCCCCCATCAACTGCCTCGTTCAGAAAATCATCCCAAGGTTAAGAGGTTCTTCATCAGCCATCAATAAACAGAAATCAGCATTCACCTGACGAGGTCGCTGGGCTTCTTGAAGCTCTTGGGACAGTAATTACAGCAGTTGGCAAACTTTGGTTCTGTTTCCAGCTCCACAGCTTTATCCTTGATCTCGCTGATCCGATCCCTCTCGGCCGCTGACTGGGCGAGGATCCGCTCCGACACCGACGCCTCCTCTCCAGGATCTTTGGCCAACTCGGCCGTCTGCTCCTCGGTGAAGGTTATGATTTCCAAACTTTTCCTCTTTGATGCTTTCTGGTCCCCCTCTGCATCCTCCTCCTCCTCTTCCCCTTCTGTACCATCCATACCTACAATTGCAAAGACACAGCTTTGTTACTTTTCATAAAAATTAATTAATAAAAAAGATAATATCTATCTATCTATCTATCTATCTATCTATCTATCTATCTATCTATCATAATTTTATACTGTTATTCAAATCTTTTTTGCTACTAATTTTTTATTCTTGAAGCAGTTGTGCAACAGTATTTTAACTCATAGTTAGGGTCAGTTTAGGTTTCCTGTGATATCCCTTAGTTCTGCTCATATAGGCTTAGACTGCTGGAGGACAAACTGACCTCATTTCCTCCCTCTGCTGCTGTCTTTACTTGATCTGCTGTTGGTGTTTTGTTTGCAGGTATAATGCAAAACAACCATCATGTCTGGATTACTGGTAATATTCGCTGAGCATCAAATGAACCATTCTGTTTTAACTGGACAAAAGGGTTTTTCCACTTCCACCTACAACCCCCCCCCCCCCACACACACACACACACACACACACACACACAAAACCAACTCTGAGGTAGTTATGATTAGACCAGACTCACTAGAATTCAATAACATCCAAAATCATTTATTTTGTTGATGCTTCCCTCTTCTCCACACAGTTTTTGTTGACAGTACCCATGTGTTCATCTCTCCATAGAAATGACTCCTGACCCAACCATCTGTGTCTCCTTCCTGTCCTTTCAACCCCAGCTGGTCAACGTTGATAGTTGCTCATCCTGAGCCTGGTTCTTGATCTACTGGTGTTTTCGTCCTGTTAAAAGGGAGTTGTTTCTTTCCACTATTGCTTCTGTCTTCCCTGGGGTCTTTCCTTAGTTGGAACTGTCTGAATCACACTAGGGAGGCATCCAGGGCGAATCCTCCTTAGCAGATGCCACCTCAACCGGTTCCTTTGATGTGTAGGCAAAGGACACAAAGAGTCTCTCATGGATAACTGAACTTCTAACTATCTATAAAGGAGTCTAGACACTGCAGAGAAAACTCAAGTTTGACTGCTTGTATTCAGAATCTCGTTCTTTCGTTCACTGCCCAGACTTCGAGAGGGTAGGAATGTAAAACAACCGGTAAACAGCTTCTCCTTGCAGTTCACCACCCTCATCCCTCTTCACCACAATGAATCAGCAAAAAGTATGCAAATACTGTGGAAGCTGCACCACCTGTTTGTCATTCTCATGCCTTATTCTTCCCTCTCTCAAGAACAAAACCCAGAAACACTTGAACTCTTCCACTTGAAGCAGCACCTTACTCCCCACCCGGCGAGGGCAGTCCACCCTTTTCTAAATGAGAACCATGGCCTTCAGAGTCTTTCTATTTGGTGATCCCATCTACATCCAGCTCAGTTCTTAGAACCTACTTGGCAGAGGTTCCAAGCAAGCCGAGTTGACCGGACGATGTGGCACAAGCACACTACAGACGAGAGACTTTGATCATGAGAATGTCTCCTTCCCAAGAACCAAAACCAACATTTTTAAAACTTGGCAACCACAGCATTAATTTTTCTTTTTTTACTTTAAAAAATGCATATATATATATATACTACAGTCAATAAAATGGCATCATGTACACTGTGGTAATCTGAGGAGGTGCTTTTTTGGGTGATGACAGAATTCAAACGAAGCTGGACCAAATGGTCTTAATTTACAAGCTCCCAGCAGCAGAGGGAAAGTGGCCTCACTCAGTCAGGGCATTTTTGGCAACTATGGCAGAGCATGGTGAGTGTTTTGTAACTTTATTTTGTTTATTTGCCCGATGTTGTGTTGTTTTTACCCTGGATAAAAAATAACAATACGAAGGTTCGGGCGGTAGCCCTACAACAATTCTTCCCGCACTGGAGCGGAACTTGGGCTACAGTAATACCTGGATTATCGCAGGGGTTATGTTCCACACACCACCAGGACAAGTGAAAAAACGTGAAGTAGGAATGCCATATTTATTTTAGTATTTATAAATATTTTAAGGCTTTATAAACCCTTCCCACACTCTTGCAATGTTCTAAACTCTTAAACCTACGTAATTTTAACAACATACATATATGTACTGTGCAGTACTACAAAATTTTACTCGCCAGCTCTGCAGACCAGCAGCTCGGTTCCGGTCCGGCGAGGTTCCAATTCTGCAGACCTACCCTGCAGCGATTAAGTCCACCACCCCGTGCAGGTGGATAATTGAGCTTCAGGAAGTTTCAGGATTATTTGCAAATTTCCTGCCATTTCTGTGAGATTATTAGATAGCGTAGATTTGCGTTGCAAAACTTTCCCTCCATTTCGTCAGAAAGCAGTAGCTGGAAGCGCTGTTGGCTTCTGGGTAGTGTAGTTCTTTTGACTGGCCTTACAGTGTAGGTTATTGAAAGAAAACTACAAAATGACGGTGCCTGTCTGAAGTATTTATTTATTTTTGGTAACTTTTTATCCTGTACCATCCTAATAACGTGAGTAATATTAAAGTTGACAATCGTTGAAAAAACACGAAAGAGCGAGTCTACGAAAGTCGAACTACGAAGTAGCGATGGACTACAGTATATCGAAAACCACAGAGACCATGTAGACCAGAGTAGAGTCGAAGTGAGTTGTGGTGTGACTGGACAATGAAAAAATAGCATATGAAATAAATATGAAACTACTGAGAAATGAGAGGATTCATTCAAACTTTTTTATACAGGTCAGTCTCATTGAGTCACGAGGACTCATTTACAAGAGACCTGTTTAATGAGGATGTAAACAGCTTTACAGAAAAGTAACAGAAAGTAGCGTGCAGATGCTGCTTGTTCATCCTTACTGTATTCCTGAACACCGTGCTCTTTCTTCAGATGTCTTTTACAGAGCAGTCCAGTCCTGAAGCTCTCATCACACAGGGAGCACTTGAAGGACTTGACGTGGATTATCATGTGGCGGCTCAGACTTCCGTTGGTGGTGAAGGAAGCTTCACAAACGTCACATTTAAACGGTTTCACTCCTGTCAGGGAGAAATGACAAGAGGAACAGGATTTCTGCACCATTTACCAAGTTTTATCAGCTGAAGAGAAACACAACAAGTCATTTAAGGATAAAAACTTTAAGCAGAAAACTAAATGACTGTCTACTTTAAATCCTGCTTACATCAGCCTCCATTAAAGGATTTTAATGGAGCAATTTCTTGGTCTGTATCTTCAAACAGCTATTAAGATTAAAAGATACGAAGCTTTGATTTTTATGAGTTTGGATAAAAATTAACTATTTTTTTTTAAATTACAATAAAGTTGACTATATGTCTAAATAGTAATATAACTCATATTCATCTATTTAAACACACATACTGTTTAACAGTTTGAAGGTAATGTTTTCTAAATTCTCCACAAATATTAAAGACGCTGACCTGTGTGAGTATTGAGATGGGACTTGAGGACTCCAGCTGAAACAAAACCTCGATCACAGAGGTGACACCTGTACGGTTTCTCCCCCGTGTGGGATCGGATGTGCTGCTTCAGATGGCTCGACTTCTTGAAACCTTTAGAGCACCAGCTACACCTGTAGAGGAGAAAGGTGAGACCACGTCCACTCCGAAAAAGCTTTTATCAAGAAGATGACTAAAAAGAAATAAAACACCTGGAGTCTGGTGTTGGACTGAAAACTGTCTCTGCAGCTCAAAAACTACCATATTTTTCGGCCTATAAGTCTTTTTTTTTTTTTGAATAATTTACATACCCTGCAACTTATAGGCCGAAGCAACATATTTATGGATTTTTCCCCATATTTATAAACCAGTTTTTGGCTGAGATATGACCGTTTTCATTCATTCTGAGTGAACAAAAAAGAGCAGTACCACTTTCAGCCACTAGATGGCAGCAGAGTAGTAGTAGTAGTAGTAGTAGTAGTAGTAGTAGTAGTAGTAGTAGTAAGGCATGGTGTTGTATCATGTGTAAACATGGCTATAATGACATTCAAAAAAGTTCAAGACAAAAACAACTGGACTTTATTTATTATACTTTATAGTTTTTATCTTGAACTTTTTTGAATTTACCATATTCTGGATGACTGAGAATCTTCACCAGCTATTAATGACACAATCGGCTTGGCAAAGACCCCACCTTCATTCTGTTCACTGCTTGAAACAACCATCAAACCAGCTGCACCGCCCAGCGAAATGCAGCTAATTTGACCATTAAAGTGCATTTATTAAGTAAAAGTTCAACTAAGACACACTTTTGCTATAACTTTGAGGAAACAAATATTTGCTTTAGGTGCTTTTCTTGTTAAATTTCGAAGAAAAGAGCAGCGTTCCGCTTCCCTTTAGTTCCTCCCTCTGCGTGCTCCGGAGCACTGAGGCAGCCAATACTTTTGAAATACAGCTGATTTGACCGTCAATGTGCATTTATTAAGCAAAAGTTAAGACTGAGACAGACATTTACTATAATTTCAAGCAAACAAATTATTGTTTTTAAGTGTTAATCTTGTTAAATTCTTGTTAAAGTCCTCCCGTGCACACCCCGGCCCACATTTCTGGGTTCGGCCCACATTTCCGGGTTCGGCCCACATTTCCGGGTTGTCAGTGGTGACGCGCGGTGACGCATAATAGATGCGACGTATATGGCGAAGTGACATATTTATTGATTTTTCCACTTTTTTAGACATATTTGGACTGATGCAACTTATACGGCGGTGCGACGAGTACGGCAGAAAATACGGTAATCAAACATGAGCGCTGCAGAGCAATCAGTCCTAAATGAACAGACTGAAGCTACAGTGCAGTTCTAGTGACATTTGTTAAAAGTGGCCTCTCTAATTTCACATTGCCGTTTCAATATCTTATACACTGAACAAAATATGAACGCAACCTTTTTGTTTTTGCTCCTATTTTTCATGAGATGAACTCAAAGAGCTCAAACTTTTTCTAGGTACACAAAAAAACTTTTTCTCTCAAATATTGATCACAAATTAGTGTAAGTCTGTGTTTGTGAGCACTTCTCCCTTGCAGAGATGATCCACCCACCTCACAGGCGTTGCATATCAAGATGCTGATTAGACAGCATGATTATTGCACAGGTGTGCCTTAGGATGACCACAATAAAAGACCACTCTAAAATGTGAGGATTTATCACACGAGCAATGCCATAGATGTTGCAGGTTTTGAGGGAGCGTCCTATTGGCATGCTGACTGCAGGAATCTTGCCCATGAATTGAATGTCAATTTCTCTGCCACAAGCCATCTCCAAAGTTGTTTCAGAGAATTTAGCAGTACATCCAACCAGCCTCATAACCACAGACCACATGTAACCATACCAGTCCAGGACCTCCACATCCAGCATTTTAACCTCCAAGATCATCTGAGAGCAGCCACCTGGACAGCTGCTGCATCAATCGGTTGGCAACCAAAGTATTTCAGCACAAACTGTAAGAAACTGTCTCAGGGAAGCTCTTCTGCATGCGCGTTGTCCTCATTGGGGTCTCCACCTGAATGCAGTTTGTCATCGTGACCAAATTGAGTGGGTAAATGCTCGCATTGGATGGAGTATGGCAGGTTGGAGAGATGTTCTCTTCATGGATGAATCCAGCTTTTCATTGTCCAGGGCAGATGGCAGACCGTATAGAGTTGTGTGGGAGAGCAGTTTGTTGATGTCAACATTGTGAATCCAGTGGCCCGTGGTGGTGGTGGTGGGTTATGGTATGGGCAGATGAATGTTATGGACAACAAACACAGGTGTGTTTTATTGATGACATTTTGAATGCACAGAGAAACAGTGACAACATACTGAGGCCCATTGTGGTGCCATCACCTCATGTTGCAGCATGATAATGAATGGCCCCATGTTGCAAGGATCTGTACACAATTCCTGGAAGCTGAAAACATCCCAGTTCTTGCATGGCCAGCATACTCATCAGACATGTCACATATTGAGCATGTTTGGGATGCTCTGAATCATATGTCGGTGTGCTCAAGTTGCAATATCCAGCAACTTCTCACAGCCATTGAAGAGGAGTTGACCAACATTCCACAGGCCACAATCAACAACCAGATCAATTCTACACAAAGGAAATGTGTTGCACTGTATGAGACAAATGGTAGTCACACCAGATACTGACTGGTTTTCTGACAACCCCAATTCAATAAAACTGTGCATTTTAGAGTGGCCTTTTATTGTGGTCAGCCTAAGGCACACCTGTGCAATAATCACGCTGGTGGATGAATTATCTCGGCAAAGGAGAAGTGCTCACTAACACAGATTTAGACAAAAAGCTGGACAGTTTATGAGAGAAAAATGCATTTTTTGTGTTCATAGAAAAAGTCTTAGATCTTGAGATCAACATTTTTCAGTCAGGTCATCTGGACAGACCTGACTGAAAATTGTTGGATTGTACACCTGGATTATTGAGCATGGACTTTTTTGGTTTTTAACCAGTTTGACATGACTGTCGATGAGGAAGAGGGCCGGCCACAGAGGAGGGGGCGTGCCAAAGACACCATGTTGGCACCAACATAACTGGTTTGTTCCACTTTGGAGTAAGCTGTTGGGGGAAGAATCAGTTTTGTGTTGTGTGTTTCCTTGACTGATGAAGCCTTCTGGATGGAAGGTGAAACGTTTCAGCAAAAAAAAGAAACTGTCCAGATTACCTGACTGAAAATTGTTGGATTGTATGCCTGGATTATAGAGCATGGACTTTTTTGATCTTTGAGTTCAGCTCATGAAAATTGGAGGAAAACAAAAGTGTTGTGTTTACATTTTTGTTCAGTGTAATTTATCTTTGCAAAGGTGGTGGTGGTATTTTCTGTATCCAAACACAATAAAACACACAAAAGAGAAAAGGTGAAAATAATTGTAAGGCAGACCTGTAGGTTCTCTTTATGCTGTCTTCACTGTCCTCCTGAAAGTCCGGAGTTTCTGCCGTCAGATGGAGGTCATTTTGACTGCTCTGCTGAAGGAGCCCGTTTGTCTATATGAACAAAGACAAAGCAACATTATGAATGTTGTTTACAAACAGGATTACGCCTGCTGTAAAAAGACAAAACTACAACTGCTACAGGTGTGTGATTCTGGAAAAAGAATACAGAAAGGGCTTGAAAGTTGAAACAGACAGATTTGGTATGTTTTGATTGAAGCAATGCTAAACAAGCGATACAGCAATGTCCCCAGTTTCTGAGAGATTTCAATAGTGAATGTTTGTAGTCTTCGAGATGAGTGTTTTTCTGGACTGAATGCAAATTAACTTTAATGTTTTTGGTGCAATATATTCAAGAAAGTTGGAGTTTTTGTTGTTGCTCGTTCAAGGCAGCGCAGAGGGAGCAATTTTATCCACCACTAGGTCTAGAGGCAGAGCCAAGGGGTGGCCAATGGAT